CAATTCTTCACGTTTGGCATTTGATTCAGGCAGATTTTTGTTCATTTGAGATGTTCCAATTCATGGCTTCTCATTAGGGATCTGGTTAGGGTCAGGCAGCTAAATTCTCCAACAATTCCTACCTCATTGAGCATGTTCCCAGCCTTCACAGCCCCCGCGCTGGCCAGGCACCCTAAAGACTATGAGAACTTCTCTTCACACACACACACGCATCTATAAAGTGCAAATCTACACTGCCTCCCATGCAGAAGATAATACCCTACAGTTGTTCCCAGTCACTGTCTTAGCTCAGATGGTAGAGGCTTGGGCTGTAGATATAAAGGTCATAACCCTACTGATGTCTGGCCCTGTGGGAATCGATATGATCCCATATAAGAGAACGGTCTTTGAGTGCATGGTCACATGCTGTTCGTTCCACAGCGCCATCCTTCGTTCAGCAAATGGGTATTTAATATTCCTTTTTGTCTTTATTCGGGGTACAGCATGTTCTACTAGTTAACTAGCAGGTTGGGAGCTGGGATGCCTGGTTTTGTGACTAAATTACTGTGCAGCCTTGTTTAGGTCCCCTGGTTCAGCGAGACATCCAAATACAGGACAGCATGGAGGCATCGATTGAAATGGTTTTTTGAGCCGAGACCTGGTTCTCAGCCTTCGTTGAGCATTGAATTGTGGGAACTATCATGCTTTCCCAATTTTAGCAAAGCCCTTTGAGATCCCCTGAGCAGTTCATTCCCCAGGGCTTCCTCACCCAGGTCAGTCGGCTTTGAATTGAGGTTTCCAGTCGGTTCATATTTTATGTGGGGCGAGCGTGCCCCCGCGGTAAGCAAAGCAAATGAGAAATGAACCTGGGTAACTTGGTGCAGTGTTTTATTACCCTCCTGGTGAGAAAATTCTGCCTAATATCCAACCTCAACTTCCGTTGCTGCAGCATGAGCCCATTGCTCCTTGTTCGGTTATCTGCCACCGCTGAGGACAGTCCAGCTCCATCCTCTTTCAAACCCCACTTCAGGTAGTTGAAGACTACTATGAAGTCTCCTCTTCTCTAGACTAAATAAACCCAATTCCCTCAGTCTTTCCTCACAAGTCATGTCCCCCAGCCACCCAACCATTTTTGTCACCCTCCACTGGACTGTCTCCAATGTGTCCACATCCTTTCTGTAGTGGGAGCCCTGCAACTGGACACAGGACTCCAGATGTGGCCTCTCCAGTGCTGAATAGAGGGGAAGAAACACTGGCCTTGACCTACTGGCAATGCTCCTACCAGTGCAGCCCAGGATGCCATTAGCCTTCTTGGCACCAAGGGCACACTGCTGGCTCCTGTTCAGCTTCTTGTCCCCTGTCACCCCCAGGTCCTTTTCTGCAGAGCTGCTGCTCAGCCAGTCACCCCCAGCCTGTCCTGGTGCATGGGATTGCTCCCTCCTAAGTGCAGGACTTGGCACTTGTCCTTGTTGAACCTCATGAGATTTCTTTTGGCCCAGTCCTCCAATGTGTCTAGGTCACTCTGAATCCTAGCCCGACCCTCCGGTGTATCTAGTGCTCCCCCCCTAGCTTGGTGTCATCTGCAGACTTGCTGAGGGTGCGCTCTATGCCATCTTCCAGGTCACTGATGAAGACATTGAACAAAACCAACCCCTGGGACACTCCACTTGATACCAGCTGCCAGTTAGACATCGAGCCGCTGAGCGCGACGGTCCGCCATGTTCACATGCTTGCTGTTTCCAGTGAGTCTAACACCAGCCTCATGAAATTTCTCTTTTCTTTCCATATTAGCCCTATTGTAACCCTATTCATGACAATAACGGGGTCATAGTGATTCTTGGCTCTTTGCATGTAGCACTTTTCATCCCTAGATCTCAAACGAGTTTGCATTAATCATCTCCCCTGCAGAGATGGGGAAGCAGAGGCCCAGAGAGGTGAACGGGACTCATCTGAGGTCACCCATCAGGTCCGTAGCAGAGCCAGGAATATAACATATGATGCTCAAGTATCCATCTCCTCCAGCTGAGACACCAATGAGGCATGCCACTAGTCTAGACACCAGTTTCCAAGACCTAGCAAATAAAATGCATTTTTCTGCTGGTTTTCTTCCCCTGCTTATAGACATTTGTAGCGTGATTAATGAGCAACTTCTCCTTTTCTGCAGGCTCTAAGTGAATCCCTGATGTGTCTGCTTCTAAATACAACTCAATGAATGTATTATAACCCCAGTAGGTTTAAGAAGATATTGGATAGGTTTTTAGTAGTGACCGGTGGTGAAGGATGCCTTGCTTGAGATTCCTTAAATGGGCCTGATTTTCATAAAGTGTTTGTTTTGGATCTTTTTGTACTGTCTCAGATCTGACCCAAAAATGAAGGGTTTATTAGTAGATGTTGGCAAGACAGTCCTGAAGTATGATGAGATAAATAATCCTGCACAAGATTCAGGGCTCCTATATGGCCCAAGTAGCTCCTGAGTGGTCTGATATCTTTGTGTGTGGACTAAGGGCCATCAGGTCTCAGGCCTGTCGGGGTGTAGAGCCAAGTCCTTCATCATGGCGTTACGTGGTATCAGGCTTGTGTTTGTTATAGGCTTAGAGATGAGATGTCAAACTGAGGACCTGTAGCCGCTGAAGATCCTGAGACAAATCCTCTTCCATGAAGCCAGCCTTCCATCCAGCGCAGGGGGTCGCAGAGGTCTAGAAACCCCCTTACCTGCCCTCCCAACTTGCCCAAGTCCCCAGCAAGCACTGAACCAGCTCCTAGGCCTCCCTCTTCCCAGCTGTAATGCCAGGATAACATACAGAAGTGCTGGGGAAGAACAGGACCAACGAGAGGAACAGCTGGACTAAACTTCCAAGATTATTGCACCAGCACATAGCCAAGGGCAGGCCTCGCGTCCCCGTGTGATGTCACGTACCAAGATGTAGGCAGCCTGGTTGGTGGTTTGTGCAAGCTATTGGTCAAGGTCTGAGCGGTAGCCGGGGTTGAAGCCAGAGGGTCAGAGTCCAAACCAGAGACAAAATAAGAGCAAGACCAGGGAGCAAGCCGGGGCAGTTATCCATGAGAGCCCAGTTCCAACAAGCCGAGATGCAAGGTCCAAGTCGGAGCAGGTCCGCAACAGGCGGTCAGATCTTGAGTTGGGGCGCAAAGGCAGGGAAACAGCAGAGCAGTCCAAGGACAGAGGAAGCCTTGGTGTCCAGATGGCTTCCCCATGAACAGGATGCCAAGAGGACCCGATCGGGCTGGAAGCCCCGGGCTGATCAAGGGCAGTAGCAGAAGCCCTTTCCCAAACCCTTTTCCTTGCCGCTTTTCCTTCCTGGGCTGGTCCCCGATGGAGGGCTGAGCTGGTGCTTGGTCCCTGAGCCTAGGGTCAAGGGTTTGGGACTGGGTCCTAACATGTGATCCCCTTGAATCCCAGGGGAGGGCCCTGTTTATTCTGCCCCCATCCACCTCCCTCCCTTCCTTGCAGCCTGCTGTGATGTTTCCCCTTTTGTCTTGTAATTGGCCTCTCACCATTTGCAAAGGCCATGGCATGCTTTGGGGTGCTGGGAGCATGGCGCCCGTGCCCGGAAATGTAACTGGGGGGTGACTAGGCGCCAACTTGGAGAGAAGCTGCAGAAATAACCACTGCAGCTGATGGCTGCCCAGCCATGCTGGCACCACCCTCCATCCAAAGCAATGCCAGCTCCTCTGTCCATTCACAGGCAGCTCCATGGGGGAGGGAGGGGAAAGGAGAAAATGATACAGGGAGAAAACAGGCACAGGCTTGTGCTTTGCCTGAGAGTGTGGGTAATTCCACCGCATTGTTATGCAGACTGCCACCAACCTGACTAATGCAGCCTAAAAGGTAACTTAGATAATGCCGGTGTCTCCGGAGAAGCCCGCTGCTTCCCTGATACCTGAGAGATGGAGGAGCTGGCTCTGGTCCTTCCTCTCCATGCAATGCCAAAAGCAAAGCCCTCTGCCTGTGGCCAGCTCCTCTTTCTGCCCTCCACCGTGTGCAGGGGAGAGGGCAAGCTACGCTCGAGTGAGATTGCCTCCACCCCCGTGCACGGTCTTGGAAAGCTGAAAGCAGCTGGGGCCGTTTCTGCCGCCATCTCTTAACCGAATGCTAGGGGCATAAAGGAGCCTCTCTTCCAAACCCAGGAGCCGATCCTTGTCTCCATTGCGTGTTGGTCTAGTTGCACTGACTCCAACTGCGGTTACTTCTAGTTTACAGCGGTGTCATGGAAAGCAGATTTTGGCCTTCGGTCAATCGCCCGTGGAGTCATGATGCAGGGTCCATCTTTTGACTGTCCCTTGAGCATTCACATCTGGAGGTGGCGGGATGGCAGGAGTTGGAGCTGGGACAGAAATGTTCTGCGAAAATTAGGCTTTTAAGTTTCCTGATGGAAAACTAATTACAGCTCGCGGTAGAGGTGATTATCTTTTATTAAAGCAACTAGATATCACCGCGACCACAAGTCCTGATTCATCGTTTCATAGTAGCTAGGGTCAGGAGGGACCTGAATGGATCATCTAGCCTGACCCCCATTCCTTGTTCCTCTAGACCAATAAGCCTACAACCTGCATACCTGACTGATGGAAAATTAGGCTTTTAAGTCACTGATGGTTTTTAAGGAAAAATACCTGGATTGTAGCAGAGCCCTCCAAGTAGACCACATCTTGCAAAATGCGCTGGGTGGTGATTGTGAGAGGGAAGACGGGGGCACCGTAGGAAGTGAAGTCCAATCAGGGACTCAAGCCTATGCAGGAGAACGGGTGCAAACTGCAACTCCCGGAGGCACGGGAACAGCATTTTGAAAAGGCCATTTGTTCTGGTTTTTAGCTCTTTTGAGGAAAAAGCCTCAAAGTTCCTCAGGGAGAAGGAAAATCTCCAGTTAGCTCCAGCTGTGACTAAGATGACACCATCCTTTTGCATACACAGTGGTACTTGTTGTAGACATTTGATGGTTTGCACCTTCTTCTAGGTACCAAAGCAGCCCCATGCCAAGCTAATAAGCTCTTAAACTGTTTTGCAGGTACCTAGGGATCACGCGGCCCCTGACGTACCCCGTGAGGCAAAACGGGAAGCTGATGGCCAAGATGGTGTTCATCGTGTGGCTCCTCTCTGCCTCCATAACGCTTCCCCCGCTCTTCGGCTGGGCCAAGAATGTCACCGTGGAAAGGGTCTGCCTTATCAGCCAGGACTTTGGATACACTGTCTACTCCACCGGCGTTGCCTTCTACATCCCCATGACCGTCATGCTCGTCATGTACAACCGGATCTACAAAGCCGCCAAGGTCAGCGCAGAGAAGCACCGGTTCATGAACTTCCCCAAACAGTACGACCAGGACGGGGTGTATTGCATGGAGGCCGGCGTCCGGGGCCATCACAGCTCCAAGCGCAGCAAGGCGGTGGAAGAGTGTGCCACGCTGTCCAAGCTGCTGAGGCAGGATCGAAAGAACATTTCCATCTTCAAAAGGGAGCAGAAAGCAGCCAGGACCCTTGGCATTATCGTGGGGGCCTTCACGTTCTGCTGGTTCCCCTTCTTCCTCATGTCCACGGCCCGGCCTTTCATATGTGGCATCCAGTGCAGCTGCATGCCTCTGAGGTTGGAGAGGACCCTGCTCTGGCTGGGTTACACCAACTCCCTCATCAACCCCCTCATCTATGCTTTCTTCAACCGAGATTTAAGGACTACTTTCTGGAACCTCTTGTGGTGCAGATACAGGAACATCAACCGGAGGCTGTCGGCAGCCAGCATGCACGAGGCACTGAAAGTCGCAGAGAGACACGAGTGTATTCTGTAAACCCCCAAAGAGGGCCTGTGTCCTCTCGTCTAATGCTAGCGCTCAGTGCCTAAGTCAAGACCTCCCACGTCTCCATCCAGCCCTTCAGGAACGGCAGCTGTGTGCATTGCCATTCTCCAGCCTGAGCTCACCATCACAAATTGGGTACAAGAGGCGCTCCAGCCCGGAGTACCTGAGTGCTGCCCGTCCATCACGACCAATTGCAGCCCCTTCCCTTCTCTTTAGCCCATAGCTGTGCTGCGCTTTCAAAACTGTGAGTCGAGCAGCAGCCCATAGGACCCAGGATGGAGCCAGGATGGTTCTTGGACCTTGCCCCGAGTTGCGCCACAGCCTGACGGTGACCTTGGGCAAGTTGCATCACTTCTCTGTGCCTCAATTTCCCCCCGTGTAAAAAATTAGACGCTCAATTTTTGCAGGGGGCTGTGAGGTCTGTGGAGGGAACGATGCTGTGTGCAATGAGATTATCTCACAAGCCCTGTAGGACAGCAGCTATGGGCTGCACTGAAGTGGACGATGGACCTCACGTTCTCCCCCCTGTGCTTATAAACTATTGCAACCCAGTTGTTTCCATTCTACATCCCGCGGCCCGTTCCAGGTTTGCATGTCAGGGAGATGATACCAATGACCCTCTTTCCCCGAGTCCTCGCATTTCAGCACTTGAACCTGGCATGCTTAGGAAAAGGAACAAAAAAACCTTTGTTTATAGTATGGTAGGCGAAGTTTCAACAGCCTACTTAAATCGGAGAAGCGAACAGCAAGCAAAGACTGATATATTTACTGGGATGTATTGTACTTCATTCACAGCTGAGTGATGTGTTTGCATAATGTGTGGCTAATTGATTGACTGAGGCACTCCATAAAAGCACGCTTTGGTTGATGAGAGACATAAATACGCGATTTCACCAGTAGCTTTACGGTGCTGCAGTGTGATGTACAGTGAGCTGGAAAAAAAAAAAAACCAAGCGATATATCTTTTTCTTTCTTTTTTTTTTTTTTTTAAAACAAAGAAAAAGAAAAATCTATTTATTTTTTTTAATTTCAGTTGAGATTCTTTGTGTGTATTGACCTTTGATGCCTCTTTTCTCCTCGTCAGCATAGCTCAGAGCCAAACCCCCCTGGAGTCATTAAATAATCTTCCACTGATTGCATTTGGCTTTGGGTGCTGGCCCTTTGGTGAATTTAAACTTTTTTCCAGTTGAGGTTGGAGAAGAGATTAGTTATGGGCTCTTCTTTCACAGGGATTTCCTTGAAAGCTTATAAAAAGGCAAGGGGGGGTGTAGGAAATAAGGCAACAGTTAGTACATTGAAGGAGGGGGCATATCACTTTTCTTCAAATATAAGGCGCAGTTGAATTTAAGATGCATCCTATTTTTTTATTCTCTATTGACGGTGAGGAAAAAAGTCAAATAAAGACACAATTTACAAAGGTGTGGCCTGTGGTGCCTATCGGACCTTTCTAGCTTTTCTTGGAAACTGTAGTTGAAGATGCATGCTGTTTTTAGAAGAAATATTTCATTTTAAAAGTGCCTTATATTTGGAGGAACCTGGTGCCTTGGAGTTCTCATAAGCCAAGGTGAGCCTCATTTAGTTTCCTAACAATTAAGGGGGCTCTGATCAGACCCCTTCAGTACTCTTCTCGGGATCTCTGTCTAGGAAAAGCATGTCTCTTTTTTGGGAGAATGGCACTGAAGCGTGGGCTCAGGACCCCTCCGAGCCATCTCTTTTAATGGCTGGACAGAGTGAGACCGAGTGGATGGAGGTAGTTTCTCAGCAAGGGTCCCAGGCTCAGCAGAGAGGCAATACTCGCTTGGCCCAAAAGTCCCCATTAAATCCACAGGGTCAATTCCTGGGCAAGTGGAAATCAAGAACTTAGCAATTGTCTTGAAGATAAGGCAGGATTTCACTTAGTATCAATGAACGAGAGTGAGGAGATGATGGCGGTCATTCAGATTTTTATTTACCATACCAGGTCAACCATTGCCCCACCACATTTAGTGTCTGGTCTCCAGCCTTGGCCTTTAATTACTTACCGTCTCCTAGAAATATAGTCGGCATTTTCCAAACACAGGAGAAGACGTAATCCCCGCCTAAGGAGCAGAGCGTCAAAACCAGAGCAGGTCAACGAAGAGCAGACAGGACATGGTGCACGAGAAGCCACAAAGTGGTTGATGGGCACGTGGCTGGTTATGATCAGCAGCGGGTTTTGTAAAATGTTCAACATCCCACGTTCCCCTCCCAGCAGCATCCTGCTGCAACGTGGCCCCTTTTCTTTTTTGCCAGACTGATTCTCAGCTTTGGTTCCCGTCTCCTTGCTGTTCCCCCAGCAGTTTGCACTCGAGAGATATAAAGGAACCAGTTACTTCAAAGATGCTTTAGGTGCCTCCCTCCTGGACACTAAGGTAAGGCTCGGTGTTCTGGAGCCTAGGTGAGACCAGAGAGATCTCTTCCTTTCTTTACCCCCATGCAGGCCACTGGGTACAGCTTCTGCACCATGCAATGGCCATGTTGTCCGCAGTGGTCCTCAGTAGAGAAGTCCAGTAGTGGAGTATGGCCAGGAGCCCAACTGTGTGTGTGTGTGTGTGTGAGACCGCCAGGATGGATAAATCCAAAGCCTTCCCACGGGAACTTTGCAGCCTCATCCAAACCCAGATATTACATTCCAGACACACGTGCACATGATGCTATCATTGGCAGCAAAGTCTGAGTAGAAAAATAAATGTGATGTATGTGAAAGATGCTTCTTGTTTCCGTTCCTTTTTTGCTGTTCTCTCCCTCCAGAATCTTTTTCATTCATTGTTTTCCTCTCATTCAAAACCCTCCTGGGATGTGGTCCTTTAGTTGCTTTGGATAAATGCTCCTTCCAGAGATGTCCTAGACAAAGAGTTCATTAAATGGGAGACTGTACAGTAGGACTCCAAAATAACCACATGGGGTGGAGTTTCTTCATGTCTCTGCTCAGCACTACACATTTAGTCTGCAGAAGAGAAGACCGAGGGGGATTGAATAGCAGCCTTCACCTCCCTGCAGGGTGGGTCCAAAGACGATGGAGCTGGGCTGTTCTCAGTGGGGGCAGATAGCAGCACAAGGAGCAATGGGCTCAAGCTGCAGCAATGGACAGTGTGGTTGGATATTAGGAAAACTTTCTCATTAGGAGGCTGGTGAAGCACTGGAACAGGTCACCTAGAGAGGCGGTGGACTCTCTGTCCTTGGAGGTTTTGAAGACACAGGTAGACAAAGCCTTGGCTGGGATGATGTAGTTGGGGCTGGTCCTGCTGTGAGCAGGGGGTTGGACTAGACGTGACCTCCTGAGGTCCCTTCCCACCCTCATTTTCTATGATTCTTTGATTTCTCCCTAATTATTCTTAGAGGAGAGGGATTTTAGGGAGATAGGGGCATTTACAGTCTACTGCAACTGAACCGACCATGCACGCACACCAACTTTTGGTAAAAAAACAGAGGGGTATTTTCCATGGCCATAGCTTTGTAGGGCTCAGTATTGCCTAGTCCATGACACCTCCAACTGAGTGATATGATGCAACACTTTTAAATATAGGTCTCATTACAAATGATGCCTAGGTCACAATCAGTGTGGCACAGTCATTCACTCCTTTGGACGTTCATCAACTCCAGACTCTTCTGGCTTCCCAGTCTATATAGCCTTCTACTCTTATCCCCTCTCACTCCTTCATGTTTCCCCCTTCCTAGCACCTCGCTGAAGATCCTGTATGTGACAACCCAATCTGATGGGAATGGCCTTTGAGTAAAGGGGGCTGCATCATGTATGAGTCCCATACCTACTGGAGGTGAGCTAGATGACTGGATGGGAAATGGATTTCCCTTGGTTCCCGAAGTGAATGTCTTCACTAAATGTCTCTCCTAGATGGTATGGAGCAGCAGGTCTGCATGGGTAGAAGAAAAGGGATGGCGGAGTAGCAACTGTGGGGCTAGGGGAAATTTGCTTATCGCCGCACAGCTGCGGCCAGTGCTGCAAACACAAGTAAAGCTGATGATAATGTCCACGGTGGTGTGGCCGGCAGGCATTGCTCAAAGGTTGGGGAAAAAAGAGAGCAAGTCAGAGAGGAATAAGCAGCATTAGCACAAGGCCAGGCTGAAAGGGTCCCCCACCAGAGATGGATCGGTGGGGGGAGATGCGGTGCTGCAGTTGCACCCTCCTTTTGATTCCTGCTCCACCCAGACTTTAAAACCAACTGCCTGGATGGGATATCAGCATTTCTCTTCAAACAGCACTTAGGGAGTCAATTGACTTCATGGCTTATTATCAGCTACCTGATTTCTGCTCTCTCTCTCCACTCCACAGGTGTTAACATAGGCACTGACTTTTATTTTTGTGGGGAAGGGCTGGGGGCTAAGATGATGGATATGTGGAAAGCATTACACATTTCAAGCCCTCTTCCCCGGAGGAGCCAGGGCCCTCAGGCCCCCACGTACTCGGCACCCGTGGGTATTAATGACCGTCACTTCTTTTTTTTTAATAGTCTTGATGGTCTACTATTCAAGCTATCCTATCTCCTGTCATTTTGCTATCTGTTCACCCTTCCTAGTAATGTCTCTCATCTAGTCTACAGCCCTTTAGGTGGTTTTTAGCTCTAGCTTAAAACCTTAACTCAGGTGTGGTAATATTCACTTGGGTAAATGTCTTCGTTGCCATCGTTGTCGAATGTCACTGATGTGTTGCCAGCATTGAAATCGCAGCCAGGAGAGCCCAACACCAGTCTCGTCTTAAAGAACATCACAGGCTCAGGTCAGTAGCAAAGACTCAGCCAGGTTTATCGTCTACCAGGCACAGCCCGAACATGCTTGTGATCTGATAGACGAGGGATCAACACATGGATGTCCATGACAAGGTATTGGCACAACACCATGTAGGCTCCCCTTGGCCAATACAAAATTCCCGTCATTTCTAATTCTCCTTTTATACAATGATTAAAACAGATCACAGTGCAGCAATATCTTGACTATCCTGAGCTGTCCCTATACCATGGGCTTGTTCCACATCCCAGTGTAGGCCGTTCTACACTTTGTACAGCCAGTTCCTCTTCCCATCTCCTAGCGGGAAGAGCACATCTGGCCCACGTTCCAAATTTTGCTTCCATAAGGAGCTCATGCATCCGTCAGGTTTGCTGATCAGCCCTACTCTGGCCAATGCTTTAGCCAAGCCTTTGTGTGATCAGCATATATATTGATTGAAGTTCCAGCGGGGCCTACAGTAAGCATTAAGTTGCATGTGGAAATAACAGGCAGGAAGTACTGGATGTGCTGTCAAGATGCTCAAGGAGGCTAGATTTTATTTGCCAAGTCTGAATAAGAGATGAACATATAACTATAATGACTACAGGCCGAATGAAACAATATGTTTTTACTATGTCTGCCCTAATTTGTTGTGTTTTTTAAAGTGAATACATCATTTAGCTGCAAATGAGTGCACATTCCAATCAAGTTTTTTTTTGATTTGATCTTAAAGTGAATCGCAGAGCATTAGGCCCGTGGCATATTAGTAATGCTTCTAGTTTCTCTTTAACTGGAGAAAAATGTGTTGATGTGCCACACCATCTGCTCCCCCCTTTTTAAAAAATGTCTGTGTCCTAAAATCATAGAAAATGA